ATTAATAATATAACAATTGTTATTTTTTTAATTTATTATTCTTTTTCATTACAATTAAATTGTGTAATTTATTTATGGATATAAATTGCATAATTTATTTCAATATTAATAAATTATTTTTATTATTGTTTTGATTAATTTTTTTTAATTTTTATTTCAATTTATTTTGTTCAATATTATTTTTATTATTTTGTTTTTAATTATTATTTTTGTTTAATTTATTTAATTTTTTTTCCTTCTTTTCCTTCCTGAGCCATCCGTACGCCGCCGGTGGTCTGCAACCGTAGCCGAGATCGACCCTAGCCAGTGGTCTGCAACAGAGAGAGAGAGAGAGAGAGAGACGAGATCGAGTGAGATTGCAGATCAGATCGAAAGAGAGACGAGATCGATCCAACCATGCGCAAAGAGACAAAGTGAGATTGCAGATCGAGAGTGACAACCCAGATTTTCATCAGATCGAGTGAGATTGTAGATCGAGCAACCCAGATCTTCATCTTCATCAAGAGAGAGAGAGAGAGAGAGAGAGAGAGAGAGAGCACAACGCCGGAAATCACCTCCACACGTCGGAAATCGCCAATCACTCTTTGAGATGAGTGAACAGTGTTTTCATTGTTGTTTATATAGTGAGCATTTGGTAATATTTGAGATTGATGAGGGGCATTTTAGTCATTTTGTCCCTCAATTCCAGCTACCCGCTTAAGTTGCTTCATTTAAGCACCTCCTCACCTAGTCACAAAATAATTACTTTTTTGACTTATTTTAAGCTAAAAATTGATCACTTAAACTAGATCAAACAGTCAAAAATTACTTAATTTAAGCTAAAAACTGAAATAAGCTGACTTTAAGTTCTACCAAACGGGCCCACTAGCACATATAATATCACCCCTCTTACTAATTTTTTCTACATTATTGTGTAAATTATTTATACATTGAAAATTTTGATTGATTCAATAATTATAATCTTATGATTTTATGAACAGACAATTCACCACAAATCACTTCCTCCTGTTAAGGACAAGATAACTCACTTCAGCCATCGCCATGACCTGCATCGATACGAGGTGCAGAAACGAGACAAAATCAATTGCAACATATGTGAGGCAGAAATTCTAGACAAGGCTTGGAGCTGTGAAAGTTGTAAATTCTTCATTCACAAGTCATGTGAAAGCATCCCACAAAAGATCAAACACAAATCCCACCTTCGCGACACGCTCATCCTCCGATCTTCCACCAATTATGCATGTGGAGAGTTCATTTGTGACGCTTGTTGTGACTCTGACAAGGGCTTTCACTACCACTGCTCTCCATGCAAGTTCGACATCCATGTTGCCTGTGCCGGCTTGCCCTCTGCCGTGAACCATCCAATGCACAAAAATCCGCTTATCCTTTGCTATGATTTCCCCGTCCGTAGTTCTGAAACTGTCAAGTGTAAAGTTTGTGAACTGAAGATCAATAAGAAAGGGTGGGCATACTATAACGACGATTCCAAGTTTATTGCTCATATATATTGTGCAGTCAATAAGAAAAAGAAAGATTCAATTCTCGCGATCCAGAAACGCTTACAATCTCTTCAAATGAAATAAGCAGCCAAGAAGCCAACCCTTCGCCATTTAAGCAATCTATTAGGTTATGTTAATCTATGTTTTTTATTAAGTGCTATGTTGTTATTGTTGTGTTGTGTTGTGTTTCGGAATAATGATCTTCGTGTCAACATTGCTGCATTTGTAATTCTCTTGATTTGTTATGTTCGAGCACTTCAATTACTAAATAATGCTCATGTTATGATGTTCTTCTATTCCAATCTTTGTGTATTGTGTACTTTGCATTCCATAATTCCGTTGTTTTTTGATTTGATTGAGGGACATCATCCGATCAAATTAACTCATCAATATTATGTAAACATTTATTGAAAATGCTAATATTTATATTGTTAAAAGGACCTTATAAAATTGAGAAAATAAGTATGATACTTACATTTTGATACTAGGAGATATTTTTGAAGTTTTATTGAGGGCATTCTGGTCAAAGGTTTATTTTTCAAATTGTTAAGCCAATAGGTCCAATTGGCGCGAAACTTAATTTTTAGGCTAAAAGAACATTATTTGTCCAAAATGACATGTTATTTGTTCAAAATTTAATTATATGTCTATTTGTTAAAATATCACATATTTGTTCAAGTATACTTATTGTACACATCACATATATGTCCAATTATCTATTCAAATTTATATGTGTCACATATTTGTCTAAGTATTTTTTCAAATGTGTATACGTGTCACCTATCTATTCACATAGATCTTCAATATCACTTATCTGTCAACTCGTTGCCACCAACTACCGTCGCCAATCATTTTTCAATGATTTTTCCAAGCAATTTTCTGGCAACACTGCATGTTGTTATGGGAAATTCTATTTTCATACACCTACTTACCTTAGTGTGCACACTTAATAAATTATTATTTTAATGATAATTATACTCTAAAGTAAAATGATCATAATAGATATGAAAAAACACTTATAATATTATATAAAAATATTTTCTGTACACATATTTTAAAAACAAAAAAATCTCAGTGCACATTTTTTAATTAAAAAAAAAAACTAAATCCTAATTCCTTCATTTTAGACAAAAACAATAGGAAGCAAAATAGATTAGGAGATTTTTATGATATTTTTTTCTTTCTTCTTAACATTAGTTTTCTAGTCAGCCAAACAGATTAAGATTACATATTTATACATCCAACTGAAAATAAAAGCATTATAAAATAATTTAAAAAATTTGGTTGTGTGGAGGAATTTTCATTACATATTAAATTCTTTATTTTTTTTGAAAAAAAAATCTTTTTTTAATTTGCTAAATCTAACATTCTACAATAAATTCTTATGAACTAAATCCTAAAAACCAAACCTTAACCGAGAAGAAAAGACGGGTAGAGGAAAAGAAAAGGCTATGGTTTTGAAATTATTTGGTAGTTCATAGGTAATGATTTGATAGTTCACAAGGGCGATTCCAAAATCGTATTATAATTTTCAAGATAACTTTGTTAGAGGAAAAGAAAAGGCTCCAACATTTTTAATTGGCTAAATCTAATATTTTCATTATATATGAACCATCAAATCGTTACCATGATGAAGCAAAAATTCAAATTGAACATCTTAATAGCAAAGGCCCAGATGAGATTTTATTCAATTAATCAACTTGCAAATAGAAATACTAGGTCTTGTTTGGAAAATAGAAAAATGGGTTTGATGATAGAGGTTAATGAAGATACTGGAGATAGAGTTTTTTTGGGTTTAAAGTTGCTCTTTGTTAGAACTTTGATTTCCTCTTGATCAGAATTTACTCTGGATTATAAATCTACCCCATCAATTTGGCCTTGGACGAATTGTTCATCGACTCCATGAAAGGGGCTAGATTGATGTGAGAGTGTGTAGAAAGTGGATTGAGGTGGTGTGTATAAGATACGAGTTAAGGGTATGATTGAAATATTTGGTATGTGGAATAAGAATAATAATTAATAAATAAATTACTAAGTGTGTGCACTGAGAAATGATGTGTATTAAGATAAGTAGCTGTGTGAAAATAGAATTTTCCCAATACTACATGTTCCCAGCCTTACTACAACATTTTCTTAGTTTAGTGACACTTGAAAGTGTCACAAGATTATTCCTCTAGTGACGTTTTTTAGTCTTGTGGCGTTTCGAATAAGTGCCATTAATACCCTTGCCACAGTAGATATTAGTGTCACGGTAGATACTTGCAAGTGCTACTACACCATTATAGCTAAAAACTTTTAATGACATTTTGATGTCATGATAGATATTATTTGTGACATTATTAAGTGCCATTAAAAAAAAGAGTTAGTGGCACTTCAATGACACTTGTAAATGCCATTACACCATTAGGGCTAAAAACTTTCAGTGGCACTTTAATGTCATTGTAGACACTATTTGTGATGCTATCAAGTGCCATTAAAGAAGCCTTGCAATTTAAAAAATGCCACGGTATGGATATTTAATGACGCTTGTTATGCCACAATTGATATTTATAACAACTTCATAAATGCCACTAAATCCAATTCATTTGTGCCATTAAATGGATATAAGTGCCATTGGAACTTATTTTAATGACACTTTGCACAACTACTATCACACCTACAAATTGCACTTATATGTTCTTTTCATTGACACATTTAAAAACTACAATTAAGCATGCGTAAATACCTGTAAAAATTGAATTGATTTTATAAACAATTGAATATTAATTGCCACATCCTATATTAATTTGACATCTATTCACCCTGTAATATTTTCATAATAATAAACAAATATTACCGCCATAGGATCATCACATCAAAAATAAAAAAAATTCAAACCACAATCAATTATTTATTATTCAAATATAAATTTATTTATATTACAATAAAAATCCCTTGCCAAAATTATAAAATATTCTACCACACTAACAAATTTAAAGCAAAAAAAAAATTAAAAGAAAATTATTCCAACCATAAGTTCTGAAAAGCCATAATGATATCCATCTTCCAGAGAGACAAATTATTAAAATAAAATCAGTTCCCAAATTCTCAACCTCACTTGTATAAATATACTCGACTAGCATCCATAACTTGCGAAATTTGCATCCAAAAGATAAACATATAAAGGTAATTGAAACTATATTAAGTTAATATAAATTTGTTAATGAAATTAGTATTTACGAAAGAAATATACAACAAATGGAACAAGCCAAGCAACATGAGCTCCAATAGTCAGGTCCAATTGTCCAACTGTTTTGACAACTCTCATTAGGTTTGACTGGCACTTGAACATATACCGCCTAATAGTCAGGTCCTAGTTCTTCCCCTTCTACTTCTTTAGATGCGTCTGTGCTTTAAAGTACTTCGATCGCAACTGTTTCTGTTGGCCTAATGATACTTTTTAGAACAACTATATCTCTTACCTATAAATCAAGATTTAACTACTTAAGTAATTATATATTTAAAATTAATAAATAATATTTGTGAGGGAGATTTATAATCTGGCTTTGGGCCGTGGTAGAAGCTGGACGGATAGGACCGAGCATGTTGGGCCGAGCTAATTTGGGACAGTCTAGAGTCGATTTTGCCTGGTTGAGGCTCGGGTCCCCTGTTTAGGCCGAGCTGACTGAGGCCTCCCTGGAGTTGATCTTGCTCGGTCGTGGCTTCGGCTCGAGGTCCAAATCCAATGTCTGAACCGAGCTTACTTGGCCTAGATGACCGCCTGCTAACCCGGGTCGCACGCGTAGCTCGGCGAAAAATGTCTTCTGTTCACCGGCCAACCCGTCTTGAACTCAGCTCTGCCGGAATGCTTCCGAGCTCGACTGTTTTGGAGCTCGACGAGCGGAGCACTCAGGCACGTTGCGCAGCACGGTCATGGGAAGCCGAGGTGATGCTGCCGGGATGCCGAGCTCCCGCTAATGTAGTCTGGTGGTATGGCTAGGTGGTGATTGCTGGATTTGTGCTGACAGATGGGAAAGCAGCTCCACGTGTCAAGAGACCAATGGGAGTAGATTTGAGCGTAGAAAGTATATAAGCAAGACTGCGCCCCCCATGCTGAGGATGGAACATAATTTGGTGAGAAAAACCTAAACACTCAAGTCTCTCATCTCTCTCTCTCTCTATCCCTGAGTGTGTGCTAACTTGACCATCGGAGGGGTTTTCCGGCCACACACCGCTGGGTAGCTCACCGCCGTTGTGTTCGCAGGTCGATCGGACAGACGAGGAGCTTGGACGAAAGGAATACGGGCACTGTGGAATATTTGCTCCCCGTATAATTGGCACCGTTTGTGGGAAATTTGATAGACAAAACCTTGTCTTCCAAGCTCATCAAATTACCTTCAATGGCGAACAACGACGAGATACCGTTGTCAGCCATTGACGGTGTTACCTCGGAGTCAGCCAGACGGAGGGACGGATTTCCCTCCATTCCAAACATGGCGGGCCTGGAGACTTCCTCAGGAGGACATTCAAGAGATGCGCAGGATAAGCGCGGTAGAAGTTTTGGTAACTCTCGGAGCCCAGACGAGCACCGGCGGCGAAAAGAATCGCACGCTAGGCGTCTGGAGCACAAGTTAAGGGACCAAGACGCCATCATCCGGAGAATGGCGACGGAAATGGAAGATCTCAAACAGCATGTCAAAGGGAAGGGTGTTGTTGGAGTGGGAGACCACAGTGAGCGCACCCAACTACGCCGTTCAGGCAGTCAGAGCCAGCGGCACACTCCCTCCCTTTCTATCACCAGAAGCTACAGGGATGGAGAATCCGACACGCCTGTAGAGAAGTCTAGCACGCAAGATAGTACCTATCAACCCTAACGACGTCGAGGTATTCCTATTCCACTTGCTCAGAGGACTTGCGGGCAGTCTTGAAGGAGCGGGCTCGCCGGCGAGAGACTCAAAGGGTGCTTGCGCTCCAGCGGCTATCTTACGGGAGCCGCGCCAGTGAGAAGGTCATAATGCCACCACCCCGTCCAGCCGTGGCGAGGCTGAACGCCACCCTCTTCTCCCTTGAGATAGAAACCACTCCGCTCTTTGTGGGCTTTCACCAGCCCAAGTTTACGCTCTATGACGGAAAGACCGATCCATACATACATGTAAGCCACTTCCGGCAGGTCATGGCCGGACATAGGCGCAATGACGCTCTTATGTGCCTTATCTTCCCGTCGAGTTTGGGCGAGCTGGGCTTGAAATGGTTTGAGAGGCTGCCGGAGGAAAGTATCGAAAGGTGACAACAGTTGGCGAAAGCCTTTGTAACTCGTTTCAAGACCAACACCAAAATGCCGAAGGAGGTGGACCA